TTACTGGTCCAATCTTAATCTGAACCGTAGTGTGTGTCCCAACCCAGGAACAAGTCAGGTAGCAAAAATATATCAGAGCCGATTATTCACTAGCTGGGGATTTAGAGTAAAGATGGAGCGATTGGAAGAAGAGGAATTGATACGAAGATCAGAGCCGGATTCTCTGGTTTCCGTCACCGTAGGTAGGTTCATGAGTACTCTTCTCTCGGCTCGCCCTAAAAAGCTACGGGACTCTATTTCCCGTTTTTCTCCTGATTCTCTAAAGGGTTCCTCAGGTTAGTGTTTCCAATTTTGTTGCTCTTGTGTTTGCACATGTTGCTTGCTTCAGATCTTTGTAACCTGATGGCTGCATTAGGCTCCATCGATGAGGCACTTTGGTTTCTGGACAACTGCGTTAGAAACGATGCTGAGAGAGACGAAGCGATGGATGAAATTCTTGTACCCATCATCGAACATGTAATATCTAAAATCCCTCTGCTTGGTTGTTGGAGTGTCCGGTCTTTTATCTTGTATGTTCTTATGGATTGATTGGTTTCTATACTTTTTGTTCTTGTTTTTAGACATTGAGGTTTAAGGAGGATGCTAAGCGTAGTAACCCAGCTCTGATACTTCTAAATTGGCTATTTCAAGATGAAGTTCTCTTTCAAGCTGTTTCGAGAAATCTTTTGGAAATCATTGTGAGGAACGAAGATAGGTTTTTAGCGCTTGGATGGTGTTTGCTTATCCGCTGTCTTGTAGAATTCGAGGATACTGGGGATCAAGGCTTTTGGAATGGTGAGCTTATAATCATTCTTCTTACTATGTAATATGTATTCAATACCGGTTATGCCGCTTGCGGGAAAGAAAAAGGCTCTTCTTATTCTGAGCTTACTTGATTTATCGTTATGTACTTGTATAATTTTCTTCGTTGACAGGGATTGGGGAGAAACATTCTATCTTTGTGGAGATTGTTTCATCTTGTGTGCCTCACTTGTTGATGATTGTACGCAATGGAAGGTATAAAGCTTCTTTGTCAGTGAATATAAATTATCATCTCTCGTTCTGTTGATCCCATTTGTTTTTGGTTCTCTATTTGAAGTTTTGATAAATTACTCAAATTAGTACGTTTATATGGAGCAAGTTTCTTCACTTGTATACATAGTCATTTCCACCTAGTTCTGAGCTGTTATATTGTTTAGCATCTTGCAGGATGGATATGAGGTGCCATCTCGTCTTTCTGTTTCTGCTGCTGATTGCTTGCTGTCAGTTACTGGAGCCTTAGCAAAAAGGGATGATACTCTGGCAAATAGACCGAAGCAATCAACCATTAAGGGGTCTCATCAACCGGTTGCTTTGATTCCTAATATTAGTGAGAAAAAGAAGAAGCAAACTTCTCGATCTGAAGACTCAAACAGTGAGACAAGTTGTATACTATGGAACCATTTGGAGGATCTGACGCGCCTTGTCCAATGTCTCTTTGCTGTATGTTCACTGGTCCATTAAAATATGCTTGATCTATGTTCTACATTATGAAGTGATGAAGCTATCCATGATTTGAGTCGAGTGATATTGACAAAAGTTTCCTTCCAGTGGAACAGAAAAACTCGACTACTGCATGCTAAGGGGTTAAATAAAGTGCTGAAGTGGTTAGAGGAGTTAAAAGAGCATCATGGTGGCTCCCGAAAGGAGGCAGGTCTTTGACTAATGCCGCCTGTCCTTGTTCTTTCCCATTTCTGTTTATGATTCTTGCATATCAATTTTTTTTGTTTCATACCTGGAATCCAGGCACGGAGATATCGAGGGCTGGAGCTCTACTGCTTTCTTCTTGTTGGAAGCATTACAGTGTCTTGCTCCTCATGGAAGACCAGAAGTTCTCAAAGATTAGCAAGGAATTGTTGGAGCAATATTTGTCTGGTATTAAGGTTAGACATAATTGACAATCTTTTTACTTTCAAAATTTTGTGATAGGGATAAATTATTTCATACAGTAACATTGTTCTACCACTTGGATTATCTGAATCTGCTGCATATATTTCATACAGTAACATTATTCTTTGTTAAGAAGCTAGAAATGTGCAAGTAACATATAGTAGAGTCTGCGTGAAGTTTATTGGATTGTGTTGGCATGGTATATGAGTGAGATTAGTTTGTAAGAAGCTAATAGAGTTAAAAATGATGTAGTACTCGTTTTAATGCTTTTCTAGCTTTCTGGTCTTTCTCTCGTAAGTGTTTTCCTAATTGTTAGTTGAGTTGCCTTTTTGAAAGCCAAGGAATTTGTACATTCCGTACCAATTTTTTCTACTGAAAGCTAATAATAATAAAATTGATGCAGTATTATTCAGAAAGTTGTTCTCAAGCATGTTCTGACACCAAGGCTGGTGGTATAGAGACACAGAAGTTTTTCCTAAATTGTTTATGTCTTTTGTTGGGCCGCTTTGAGGGAAAGAAATTTGAGAGCATACTATCAGAGTATGGAATGAAGCTTGTGCCTTGTCTTCTACATCAGGTATCTTTCACCATTTTTTATTGAATAGGGAGTGAAGGCACTCTTTACAGGAATTTCTCTTGCATTTACCTGCTCTGATAGTAATGCCAGAATTTTATTCTTTTATAGGCTTTTCTGACTTCCTACTCATTATGAAATTCATAATGTCTCTTCTCCATTGCTGCTATGATTATAACATATTGATAAAGTTAATCATGATGGATAAAATATATACCCATGTGATCAGCTTAGTACTTATATTCTTCCTTTGGCTTCAAAGCTTCGCAGTAACAATGAAGAGATATCAGAAGGCGTTGTTGCTATATTTAGAGCAGTTATCTTTAAGCTACCATCACAGTCCGGAAACAGTTTCTCTGAGACAATGTGCATGGACGTAGTGATACCATCGCTGCTTCTCCTTCTTGATGAGAGGGATGGCGCGGCCAAAGCTGTTAGTGTCCTCCTGGCAGACTATTGTTGCAAGTATGTCTATTGTTGCTTTTCCGTTAATGCTAAATCATAAATGTACCTTTCTAGTTATCAGTTACGGTTCAGAGTTCATATTCTGACTTAAAGAAACATTCACCAGAAACGTAGATAATGACTGTCTCAGTGAAGTTCTACAACGCCTTGTTTCTGGAACTACTGTGCAGAGGCTGAATTCTATGGATGTGATATCAGAAATAATCCTTATGTCAAAAGATTCATTTCCTTCTCATATACCCTGGTATACAATCATTTATGTTTCTCGTCTCAATTTTCTCTTTCTATGTTTTCTGCATCTTCTTTAGTTCCTGGACTTTATTTGTATTCAGAAGTGAAAACTCATTTCTGCACTTATATCAGGAAAGAGATTGCGGACTGCTTGTTAAAGTGCCTTGGAGACAAGAAAACTTATATCCGTAATCAAACTTCAGAGTTGCTGAAGTCAATTGGTTGGTCTTCTTTTTCCCTTTGTACACAATTCCTTTGGAAGGCTTTTATTTTTGGCCGTTCTTGTATTGGCAATCTTATGCCTCCCATGACTTCAAGATCTTGCCTCTCTTCATTTAATAAGATGAATTTCATAATGTTTGCTGAAAATAAATCAGTTTATTGTTAGGAGTAAGACTTATGTTAAACTTTATTATTCAGATGAGGAAACCTTGTAAAGGTCTCAATTTATGGGGACCAAGACTTGTTATTCCATATCTTGGTAGTTTTTGTTCTTATAACCATTTATTTTCCGCATTCCCATATAACCATCATCTGCATGTTTTTCTTTGTTTTTTTCTTTCAGAGCCATCATTCGTGCTACCAGATCTAGTAACACTCGTTTATTCAACCAATGAAAATGTACAATCATCAGCTACCGAAATCTTGCTTGGGGTCCTTAAACATCATAAAGAGGATTCTGATGTTATATGTATGTTGCTGACCTGTCTTAGGTATCGTGCTTTCTCGCTTTTTATCCTTTTGTCCCATGTATACATAGCTGTTTGTATAAGTAAAAGTTACTTCATACATGGAAATATTGACCTGACTACCGGATTTGATTTTCTATTCTGTTTTTGCATAAAATTCAAAAGGCCTTTCTGCTTCTGATCTCCATTTTTCTCATCTAGTAATATTCAAGCTTTGGATGCTTCAGACAGTAATGGAGATTCCACAGAAGGTATTCGGTTGCTTATCTCATTACCATAGGCTACATGCTATTCATAATTTGTGATAAAACTTCATTTTGTTGTTTTCTCTGTCTCGTGTTATACATTTGTCTTACATATGCCCAATCTATAGGTATTGTGTAGAAAATATTTCAACAATTCGAATGTTACTTGGATAAGAAGTAAAATTACTGGAATGTGAAACGTGAATGATAAAAAAATGTGGTGCTACTTTGATGCTGAATTACTAACTGGACACTATCAAGTTTTTCTCTGGCGAGTGCATGCTCATCATCTTCTCGTACTGTTGCAGGTTCAACTTTTGACAGTGGTCGAGTGCTAAAGCTGATTCCAGAGTGGGCTAGAAGTGTAAGTACAATAATACGTCATGCTTGCTACATTACTTACTTATTTGAAATGAAATCCATGAACCTATGATTAGCTTTTCAGGAAATTTCCAAACAAACATTTCAACGAAATCTTTCAGTTTCTTATTTTTTAGTTTCCTAAGTGCTCTGCTCGTATACTGTTGTTAGCTCTTCTGAATGGAAAATCAAAACTAAATTTGTAACTCTGAACCTTTATTTCAAACGTTTTAAAGCATAGGTTGTTCCTTTTTTTTCCCCTTCCAAGTCCTATTACTTTTTTATCTAATTATTTTCTTGTGTATGTGCTGTGTAACTCTTCACATGGGAGTTACTGGAATGACCAAAGCTTGTGCCAGCTATAATAGGCAATTATAATATTTTTCTGCTTGTTGATTGAAATAAAATTCTTACAGGTGCAAAACTGGGTCTCACTGATTGGACCTTTGCTTGACAAGATGTTTTTGGAGCCATCCAATGCTATCATGGTCAAGTTTCTTAGTTGCATCAGTGAACATTTGGCAGATGCGTCGGACATAGTCCTTCTGCATGTACTATCACATATGAAGGAGCAAAACAAGTACGTAAAAGTTCTCTTAAAATTTTAACAACTCAAAATAGAGCAGTATACTCACCATTAAAGTGATTTCTATGGTAACAACAACTTTTAACTTCCGAATATATAAAATATTGATCACAAATAATGTCACTCCTGTTGCAGGATGGATGAGAGCTTCATATCCACATCTGATACTAAAAGTTCCGTTGACAAAACTAAATCGGAGAAATCTCTATATGACCACCTTTGCCCGCTGCTTATATTAAGGCTGCTTCCCCAAAGAGTGTTTGATGATATTGATTCGTCAACGGTTTATGGTAAATTCCTCAACGGAGACTCTGTGAATGGTATGTATGCTTATGCCTTTGATTTCTTTCTCTTGATAAGAGAAGTGTAGATGTTGATCATAAGGTCATTTGACCCTTATTGTCAATTAGATTCAACGCATTAGCTATATTTGAATAAAATTTATTTATTAGTGGCATGATACAGAGTAGATAGTGACGGTCTTAGACTTAATTCACCACCTCTATTTATTTCCATGTGGTATTTATCAGACTATCAAGACATCAAGTTTGAGGATTGTCAATGCATCGCCGCTTTCATTTTGGAAAGGTTGTTTTTACTCTCAGTAATCATCAAACGCCATCTAAATCAATATTTATTTGATATCTACCGAACTGACTCTTGTCATACAGGGCATTTTCTAAGTTCGAGTTCGAAGAAGTTCGGAAACTCTCTGCTGAGCTATGTGGACGTATCCATCCTCAGGTGTTAACTTGCTTCCTTCCCCGACCTTGTATTTTCGTCAATCATTGTAAATGTTTCAATATGTCCTAAGCCTTTGTTTCAGAGGTAAATTTTTATATACAAAGAAACAAGGCTGGATGCTCGTTACTAAGTTTCCTCTCAAGTTCACTTATCCTTATGAGAATCCGTCATAACTAGGTTCTGTTAGTAAGAAGAAAGGCTTGCTGCGTTTTTTTTATCTAAAAAAGTCTAAATGCTTGACGTCAGATTTATTTATACAACAGAGCATGCTCTTCATTGTCAAAAGTTGTAATATACTGGCGCTTGTTATTCAACAGGTGCTATTTCCAATTGTTTTCTTGCAACTTGAAAAAGCCACAGAGCTGGAGGACAGCCTGAAGATGAAAGCTTGCCTGTTTTCTATATGCGCATCCCTTGTGGTAATATTTTCATCGTTCGTTTTCTATATGAACATATTCAGAGACCCATGTTGTCACTTGCTTGATGGAATATGAATATCAACTGGATTATTTTTGTACATAACAAGTTTTCCACCACTTGCAGGTTCGAGGCTGGGAGTCTTTCTCACACGGTGTGACACCTAAGATCAGGAAAGTCGTGGAAAACATTTTGTTATGGCCTTCTGATAAGGATGAAAGTAAGACACCGGGCTAGTGGCTACTGGTTTATATCTTAAGGTCTGTTACTCTTCACTTCCTCGCCTCATGATCTTATTTTTCCTTGCAGTTTCCAAAGTACAACACGGGTGCATTGATTGTCTGGCACTGATGATATGTACCGAGCTGCAACATTTTGAGTCTACAAAAACATCTGGAGGAGGAAACATACGTACGACAGGGAAAAACACATCTGGTTAGTATTGCTGTTGTATGTCTGTAGTGCTAATAATATCTTTTTCCAGAATTGCCTATAAATTCTATCATGATCTGTAGGTGTTGATGCTTCAAGTAATTCTGTTCTAGATCACACGATCTATCGTTTAATAGAAGACAGTAGTGACTCCTCTTCTATCCCCAAGATGAATACCGAACACCCAGTTGTTGAAAAGTCTCTTCCTATTCCATTTCGTCTATGCATGGCGAATGTGCTCATCAGTGCTTGTCAAAAAATCCCTGAATCTGCCAAGAAGACTTTTGCTCGAAAAGGTCTTCCGCCTCTTGTTCATTCCCTCAAGGTACTTTTGACTCCGTACACGCATTTCGGATTTGGTTAAATCTGTTTGTATCTTGTTTAGTTTTCAACAAAATTCCTGAATCCGTGCAGGTCATATCTGCGCCTGAGGTCCGTGCAGCTTGTATCCAGGTCCTATTCTCGGCCATGTATCATCTCAAGTCCACACTACTTCCTTTTTCATCTGATCTACTCAAACTTTCCCTGAGATTTCTTGAACAAGGATCCGAAAAGGTACCACCAGAAGTCTATCAAACATATGTCTAACATGTGTACAATCGGATTAAAAGTAAACAGAAAAGCTATCTTCCTCATATGCATCACAGAATGATGTTTCCTGAATCCCACAGTCCATATCCGGAACTGTCTGCATCTATAAACATATGAACTCGAATATTTATCCCCGCCTTGGAGATTTCACGCTTATGCGGAAGTCGATTAATATTCTTCTTGCTGTTGTGTAGGAGAAGCTGGCTGGTGCAAAACTAATGGCATCACTCATGGCGAGTGAAGACGTGATACTTGAAAGCATATCAGAGGGATTGCTCGAAGCAAGATCAGTTCTGTCCAAAGCATCTTTGTCAGATCCTTCTCCACACGTACGTGAAGTCTGTGCTAAGCTATTGGCATGCATAACGCCCTCATAATATTCTCACTTTTACTTTGGTATGTTCTCATGTGACTAACAAGTCGGTATGTAGTAGATATATGGTAATGTTGTAGCAAACGATGGGTCTAAGGATTCTAAATATATCATGTAAAATGCAATAGACCCAATATTTTGATTTGTTACTAGTCTCGTAGACCAAAGTCCATGAAATCTCCATGACAAGATAAAAAATATGCATTTTCTTTTTTGGGTGGGGGGTTTTCATTGAAACAAAAATAAATTGGTCGAAGTATGTATAATTTAGTTTTTTTTTTTAAGTAAATGGGACAAATGTGGGGAGTTAAATGTGAAGGTAAGAGACGAAATGAGCATGGGATAAAGATGAATGGAGCGGTGGTTAAATCTCAAAGTCTCTTACTAGACACTTCACTCTCACGATCGTAACATGTGATTCTTATGTGTTGTGGTGACTCGTGACTTCTGCCTCTCTTTTCTCATGTGTCCCAATTCTCCACCTAAAGGAAAAAAAAACCGTAAGGATAAAATACAAAACCCAAAAGCTTTTTTTTAATGTCTCAAAAATAGAATCTAAGAAGAAAACAACCTGCCTTGTCTCACTAGAGATTGCAATACCATATTAGAGCTAGGCATAT